AGCCGCTGCCGCCGCCTCCGAGAGCGACCCGGCCCGGCAGCAGAGCGAGGAGGCGTCACCCCAGGAGCAGCAAAAAGCCCCCCCAGTCGCGGGAGGGTACAACAGCAACAAAGCCCTGGGGCTGAAGTACGAGGAGATTGACTGTCTGATCAATGACGAGCACACCGTTAAAGGGAGGAGGGAAGGCAACGAGGTCTTCCTGCCGTTCAGCTGGGTAGAGAAATACTTTGAGGTTTATGGGAAAATTGCTCAGTACGATGGTTATGACAGGTTTGAATTCTCTCATAGCTACTCCAAAGTATACACACAGCGAGCACCTTACCACCCCGACGGGGTCTTCATGTCCTTCGAGGGCTACAACGTGGAGGTTCGTGACAGAGTGAAGTGCATAAGTGGCGTGGAAGGTTGGTGTCAAGTGTTTTCCCTTTTTTCCAGTAGCCGAAATGCTGCTTAAAATTAGCTGCCGTCGTTTGAGATGCAAAGTGATCTCAATTTGGTCACAATAGTCTCAATATAAAAAAAAAAGTTTGGGGAATGGTGCTCAGTCTCTGCTTCCTGCCAGGCTTTCCCAGCTCCCGTCCTGCATCCCTGGTTTTACTGGTGGCAGCAAACTCCGGAGGTGCCAGGACGCTTCTCTGCGGGTGCCGCTGTCAGGTTTTGGCATTGACGCTTGTGTCTGTCAGGGAGCCACAATTCCTTTAAAATATGAAATGGAAAAGCCAAGCCTGGCCCTGCTGTCTGAGCTCCTGCTTCCCCCTGGGCACAGCCACGGCCCCACGCTCGGAGCCAGACGGCGCAGCCCACTCCCACGGAACAGCCTTGGCCGCTCATGGGCATCCCACGATGTGCTGGCCCGGGGCAGGGCATCCTCTGGCCTCGTGCTGTGAAAGGCGCTGCTGCCCGCAGCGGGGTGAGGAGGGTCAGAAAGCCATGGAAGCGTCCCTGGATAGTATTAATCTACGATAAAACCTCTCCAATTTGCGCTACCGCTAAAGCGTGCAGCGGGTAATTAGTACGCAAGGTCTCCCTGCGTCCTGGCAAGGATCGGATGGCAGAAAGTTCTTGTCGAGCTTCATATTAAAAAATTAATGGCTTTATAAAGCTGTTATGAATGTGACACTGTGATCCCTTTATAAAGCTTTCACTTAAGGAATAGAAGCCATTCATTTCCATGCATCTTGGTGGTCGGTGATGCTCTGCCGTGTGGATACGAGCTCTTCCCGCGTAACGGTGCTGCAGGAAGCCGGCCTGTCACGCGTGAAGGGTTGATGTAAACAAACCCATCGGGTATGTCAGTTGTGCTTGGCTTTTTTTTAAGGTGACTCTCGCATTTTTCGGTGTTTTTTAACACTCAAACTGCCGAGGAAGGGAAACGGGGCTCAAGCTCTCCCTAAGGTGCGAACGCATCCTGGTAGTTACGCATCCGCTACGTGTGAGCATTGCCCTGCTCAGGGTTTACGTCTGCTGTGAGAGGCTGAGGAGGTGGCTTTCATCAGCAGACTGTAGCAATTAGAAAGGAAACACGGCTTGTGAATGTGAATAATTGCCGTGGGGGATGCTGTTGTTGGCGGGGGGTGGGCTTGGATGTAGGTCTTGGAGCCCCGCCAGGGTTTTTTTCAGCAAAAAGCTGAAATTCGGTAAGAAGCAATTGAGGATCAGGATGGTTTCGGTAGGCTCTTGCCTTGCCAGATGTGCAGGAGGTGCTGCACACAGCTGCTCTCTACTTACACCTCGAGAGCCCAGCGAGTCGAACGCTCGGCAGCGTGGTTATTTATCTGTAAACCTTGCTGTCTCTGCAGCAGAGGATTTAGGAGCTGCTGTTAGGAAACGTGGGGCCCGAGCCTGGGTGTTGTAAAGGGCCGTAGAGTTACTGGCATCCAGCAACCAGGTTGGAGAAGAGAAATAGGTGTAGTTTGCAGGGAAAGGGGTTTAATATTGAAAGTCTCATTCCAGCCCTAGAGATGCTCCCATTGCTGCGTGATGAAAACCCACTCGTGTTATATTTTCACCTTCTCTCTCTCTGCAAGGTTAACGTGCTGTCATGTCCCATGACCTGGAGAATTTAATCTGCCATCTCGTATAAATTTCAAGCCAAGCTCTCACAACAGATTTCTCTTTTTGCGTCTTTCAGTCTCAGTGAATGCGCCCGTAACTGAGAATGTTTAGCATTAATAAGCGAGCTGGCTTCCAGGAGCTGAGATAATACACGCTATTTAAATACTTCCCGTGATGGTTTTCACTTTAGGCAGCAGTAAGCCATCCCCTCTCCAGCAGTAATATTTATTAGTGACACAAAGCACCGAAATAGGTATGAAAATGTATCCTTTTACGTTCCGTTTAAGTAATCTTTTCATTGTACCACACTTCAGAAGAAATTGGTTTCTGAGCTTGACATCGCCGGGGGGGAAACGGTGCAAATGCCAACTTGCTTG